TCAGAATGGATTAGCGGTAGAGAACTCCAGCAGAGAGCTTCAATAAGGAACCTTTTTCCCAACCAATATACAGAAAGAAAAGCAGAAGGATTGAACCCAGCCTAATGATGTCTTCTAAAAATCTCTCATTATGGCCTCTTACAGCACAATAAAAATCAGTGTTGCTCAAAAAAGTAGACTCACAATCAACTGGACACAGATATCAGAGGGCCGGAAAATACCTGCAGTGACAGCCCTAGAGAGTAATCGGAGTGATGGTTATCGAGTAAGGCGTCCGGGGTGAAATATGGAAGACATTGTAAGGAAAATATTAAAGGCTATGGAAAGCCATGTGGTCAGCTAAGGACGACAGCAGAAAATTTTACAAGTTAGAGTTTTGATGTCGAAGCTCGATTTCCTACTGTGAACACGTGGGAACAATACTATTTAACAATACAAAAAACCGTTCAACTAGAGACTCATTTTTGAGATGCGCTGGCTACTGAATTCTGTGGGATTCATTCACTGATCAACGGGTGTTTCGATTATTGCTGGCAGCCGTATTGAATTCGGAGAAAATTGTGTTAGGGTCACAGTGTGGAATGATACTTTATTGGTTGTGACAGCAATATAATTATGTGTTAAAACATGGAACTGTTTTTGTCTTTGATCTGGTATACTTCCAAGACTATGTAGAGCTCTAGATATGACGACTAGGCTTTTCGAATGCTAAAAAGCGAGTATTTGTGTAGTTGTAAGTGAAGGCTGACTAAATACACAAAGTGTATATCTATTTCCAGAAATTAAATAACTGCAGTACATTCACCAATCTACGAAACAACAGTTCACTTATTTGATATACAACTCTTTGATAATGTGAAAGCATTTTATTGAATAATGGTATGAAAAGTGAAGCTGAAATTCTAGGTTGAAGAACGGACATCTTTCAATATTCCCTACTTGATTTCACCTCATCGTCGAAATTGTTCAAAAGCGCTGGCATTGTGAAAACAGTATTTGTAGTTTCTCTCCATTTGATATATATTTTTACCAGTTAACTATAGTTAAAACTAGTAGAAAATTGTCAAATATTATCTTTTCAGAATCTGATCATCTTCATTCCACACAACTCTTCATTTACACCGAATCAGATACATCTGCAAGAAACTACTGACTAATAAAGACTTGAATGACTAAGTATAAAAACCCTACAATACTTTATCTCGCACACATCTTAGATAGTGACGGAAGTGTAAATCAGGATACTATTGTATTATCGCGAAACACTAAGTAAAAGGTCCCCTTTATTTTTAATTTAATTGTCGCAATGTTGCTCAAATTTAAATATCATTACTTATTTCTGTTGCTATCTAACAGAATTTTCAGTGTGAATACCCTGCTCTTTTTTGATTGCACACTAGTCAGTAACTAGTGCAATGTGTCTAGTTGGCACTCATCAGAAAGGCATATCTGCAGCCTTGAAGGAACTCATGTCACCTCTGGGATTCGAACCTGCACGAAACCTAGGCCCAAGGCTTTCTGCCGATTGCCTCCAACTATTTAATGCCAACAATTCACAGTGCACTGTAATGGCAAGCCACCTAGTGTGTTGGCCACATTGCAAGCTTGACTGATAGAAATCAGTCTGCACCGATGAAAGGACTAGACACATTGCACTAGTTACTGACTAGTGTGCAATCAAAAATATCCAATACACTCCTACAGGAGGTCAATCGCGAGCCTAAATAGCTCAGTGATAACGTCTCTGACTGCAGCAATGGGTGATGCGTGTTCGAATCCTAGAAGCGACATGAGTTCCTTCAAGTTTGCAGATACGCCTTGCTGATGAGTGCCAACTAGCACGAAACCTGGGTCCAAGGCTTCCTGTCGATCGCCTACAACCATCTAGTATCAAAAACCCTGTTCATTTACTATCTGTTTAATATGTAATGAGAAATTTAGATGCAGTATTCTACAAATGCTGAAAATTCCATATTTGTACCAAAATGCTACTCAGAGTAAAATTATTACTGTCATAATAGTTATATGAAGAAATAATGGAAGACTGATGACGGGTGTGATACTCAAAATGATTCCCACGCAGACTTTTCAGATTCATTCATTTAGTCATTTTACAGCGCGCTGAGTGGAACCTTATGCTTGAAGCTGTTCAAGAAGGTTATCATAGTGTTGTTATTTCCACACGATAAAATGGACAAATGGATAAAATGGACAAATTGATTCGGAAATCCCTCCACAGAGATATATAATTTAGGGGTCTCAACTTACTCTGTAACTGCTATAGACTTTCACACTAGACCATGTATCAGCAATTTCACACTGGCATATCTCATGTTGAATTTCGCCCTTTACTATTGATCTTTGTTAAATCGTTACACTTTTTTATGGTTCCCCGTACAGTGGCAACGAGTGGTCTAACAGTATGTGCTAGTTTGGGTGAAAATTGGACATGCTGACCCGTAACTGTCTTCAGGAAGCCTTAAATTTTTATTCTTCTGGATTCGATTGTAGCTTTCACAGTTGAACTATTTTTAACCATTTGTTTCTTACATTGCTGGTTTTGTCTTCATAAACATGCATAGCCTGTATGGGAGCCTCACAGGCGAATTTCAGTTTGATGTTATCGTTGTTTTACAGAACTGTTAAAATCTTTACGAATAACCGTCTTTCTATTGAGTTTGAGAAGTTTTGTAATTCCAAGTGTCTCAACAACTTTTCACCAGGTGTACAGTAAAACGTAAAACTGGATTTCTTTCATTCAAACAATAACCAAATAAATTTGGTTGCTACACATATATTTACAAAATTTTGAGCAGGTTGAGAAACGTGACAAAAATAACCGACTATGTACTTTACAAAATAGTTCGGGAGATGAATAGTTCTCCGAGTATTTTAGAAATAATAAGATTAGTAAGCAATTCGAAAAATTACACAACAAGATGCTATTCGTTATAGGACAACATTGCGAAAATTTAATTGACTAAATTAATCAGAGATGACAAGTGAGACTGTCAGGATTCTTGGAGGTTAAATTGTTAAGAACGGTAGTCAATACAATACGCTAATGTACGGATCAGGGTGACGAGTAAAGCAGGCAGTGGGCTCACATTCCTAATCATCACTGTCAGCAAAAACCACAAACTTTGTCATGTCTAGGATTTTTCTCATAATGTATACTCTGTAAAACAAACAGTCACATGCAAAATTATTTGAGCTAGGAATTGACTAGAAAAATTCAAATGAATATCTAATCGCACATAAAAGACTTAAAATGAGTTACTAAAATAATTCAGAAATGCTGTTTGGTTAGTAATGAGCAACATTATGAAAGTAAACTAAAATTGGGGCAAGAAAACTTAAATGCATCTTGCTTCAATACAATGAATGGGATTCACCTAGCTACATTGTACAGTAATATATTCGTTATTCTGTATCATCACTTCATGTTGCATAGTCTGTCGCAAATATATGCTCGTCTGGGTGATATTTTTCATAAGAGTTATTTTACTTGACGGTGACTAGCAGTGGACTAAGAATGAAACTTCCATCTTATGTAAAACACGTCAGCTATCTCTCATAGCTTAGCAGTGGGTGCTTTAACATTTGAAACGATTGTTGAAACGTCCAAGTCGTAGTGAGAAGACCATCACTCACTAGAAATAATGGTATATCTATTTGGTGAATCGGAAATACAACTTAATGTGCATTTTGAATTCCCCGCATGCGAAGCCTTCATTCACAACCAATAATTTTAGTGGATATGCAAGGCAGAATAATGCTTCAGTAGGCATTCTACTGATGTGTCACCGATGTCATCATGGCCGTTACTCACCCCACCTACTTTACTCTCATTTTTCCGATATACTTCTGAATAAAGTAGATGAGGGAAGAATAAGCTGTGTAGAATACCAAATATTCGTCAGTTTGTTTAAGTATGTCTTTGAATTTCTGCTAGGAGAAACAGGACATAAAATTTATTGACATTCTTCAAAAATCACGTTTACCTGAGTGTGTTAAGCATAACAGAATGCAAAAGCATCCCATTTAATGATTGAGCGTAAGTTAACAATCCTATAAACTTTATACAGCTTCTAATATAAGTGAACAAATACAAATGTAAAGTACAAAGATATAAATTAGGCGACGGTGTCAGATATGACGGATGATACTTAGACGTTATTAACTTTCACCGGAAGGTATTTGACATGAATTGATGAAACAAATTCAAGACCACACTACTTCGGAACTTTATATAGTATGTAGTAAATGACTATTGAATAGTCTTTTTTTAAATTTTCTTTTAGAAGCATCCATTCTTGTTACACGGTGTCGCTTCGCATTTCCATGTACATAGGCTTTTTCAAGAGTTTCGCTCTACCATTGAATAACTGTAATGACATGATTATATTTCTACCGGAATTTGGCAGTATCGTATATCTGGCTGAAACATAATTTCATTCAGTGGTTTATTCGTCAGAATGCATAGCCTTTAATTAGTTGGAAGCATCGACAAGGACCCGAGAACTCTCATCGCCGAAATGAACAAAACAGGAGAGAAATACAAATCTATTAATTACTATATTTATTTATCAACCGATTTTAGAAATTGAAAATGTGAACTGTCCAAACAGTTACTTTAGAATGTATGTGAAACATGATTAATGGCCGAAATTGCATGATACCAGGAGACAGAGCCCATTGATATTAAAGTTACTTCAAGAAGCTGGCGTAAAGCAAAGCTAACTGGGGAAATTAAAATAAAAATGTATGACAAAATGAATATAGAGATTTTCAGTTACTGTTTGTGGATTATCTGAGTGGTTAACAATTCATGATTCACATATTTCGGTTAATTTGACTCGAAAATTTGTAATATTTTCAACGATAATATGAAACCTTATAAATGTACACTTAAATTCTGCTACAAATTCATTATGTTCTGAAGCGATAACACGTATCAAAATTTGAAATTTGAATAAGAAGCAAAAGTGTGAACTTACGATAGCAACAGAAGTGTTCCAAAAGCCTCCCGCCAATGCCAACAAAAGTTCCTGAAAAATGATGAAGTGAATTGCGTTCAGAATGTTTATGACAAGCTACAGCATATTCAATTGTATTACATTGGAAGTCAGATATAAAGTCAGAGTCAGTAAACGCTTCCACATATAAAAACGTTAGTTTGAACTTACCGTATTGACATGTTCGCATGCAATGGGGAGTCGGAGGTTGAAGGTAATATGCATCTATGGGACGCAGGGTAAACTAATGGGAAATAAACCAGTGTCAGGGAGACGTGAAGCTGCATGTCTGTGGTTAGCCTGAAATAGAAGCAATCTTTCAAAATAATGACAACATAATAACGTTAAATGGCAAGTTAACTTGCATGAGTACCAAGTAACTGTTCTCGGATGCCGTATGTTAATAAATTAACTCAGATAACTCACGTGAACACAAATGTTGGAGTTTCCACAGTGCCTTTATAAAAGTGATTAGTAGAATAAGCATTACAATGAGGACCTAAATATTGTAGCAATCACTGCTATCCACACCAATACACACGTGGAAAATGATGTACTGGATTTCAGTGTATGTCACACTGTGAGAAGTACAATAATATGCTTGACTTTTGAAGATAGTTGCCTGCAAATCAAGCTCAGGGATTTTATTCTATGAATAGGCTTTTCGGATACTACCACGAAGCTGAACTTATTTGTCCGATGTCACTTTCCATGTTGTTTAGAACAATATCACGCATGATGGTTATGATTAGAAATTCTTATAATAATATTTAACAAACTGTAAAATGATGATATGATGCAAATTATTTGATATCTTGAAAGTGCGTAGAAGTTTACTAACAAATAACCAATTTGTATTTAAGGTGTGATAAGGATTATCAGGCAAAGACCTTCATCGATTCTTCCGATTAACTATGAGTGGCAGTGTTACACGTTGTTTCAGTGAATCATCATGAAGTAATAAATGATGTACTCGAAGTAGGAGTCTTCAATTCTCCACAATTTTGCATACTTTGATAGACATCTTCACTATTGCTTACACAGAACAAATCGGAAGAGATGAACTTCAGATTACAATCAAATCACTGAAATTTGTCAGGAAACTGATTTACTACTTCAATTTAGACATGACATAATCTGGTCCCTTTCACCTGACAAACGTCATGTATGCACATATATTTGGGGAAATGTTGACTTTGTAACGCTGAAACATACAATGAAACAAAACTTTGGATCAATAACATACCACTTATTATAATTCCAATATTGTGTCACAGATTTGTTTAAAACAATCTGCAGAATCCTGCTGATATATATTCATTAATCCTGATTAAGACACCTGTAGAACGTTGATGTCATGATTGTTATGAGTTTATCTACACAACTCTAGAATTTAGGCCGATCATTACCTCATGTTGCTAAGGAAGAACGAACATTGTGTGCTGAAGGCAGTTGACTTTATCCGTATTTTCTGAATTGTCCATATATCATGTGCATTAATACTAAATTGTCACCAGGATAGCTTAACAAACAACCGTAATCATGTTCAGTCGACAATGTATACATGAAATGCTACAACGGAATCTGGTGGTGACTTGCAATATGTTTGGTCGGCCTTGTCTTAGCGGTGAATCTGTCGAACATCAGTTGAAGAAGGTGGTATATCACAACCCACCGTCTTTTACGCTTTAAAACTATAAGCTTTAAGTCACACAAAAATGATTTTGGAAATAAAAGTGATGCAAGTATTAAACTTACAGTCAAAATAAGACTGACGCCGTTAACTCTTCTCCCTTTGTTAAGGAGGGTAAGCGCAATAGAAAACCAATAGATCGTTAAGAATATCTCATGAAAGTCACACTTGAAACTCTCATATCGACCATGAAAATAAAATAAATTTTTTGCAACTCTCTCACAGGATCAAAGTTCAGTTATTTTCAGCTAACAAATTGAAAACAAAATAATAACGAAACAAGACTATATAAACGCTCATTGATTCTTCGATTCATAAGAATAAAAAGATTGAAACGGCGATAAGTAAGTGGTGAGCGTTAGTTATTGCCAGTTTCAGTGTTTTAGTGAGTCAAATTTGGGTGTTCAAATTCTTGATTTATTATGCTTATAATATAGTTGTATTTAGGTGTGTGATCTCTTCACATTCTCTGTTATTTCATGTCAAGGATATCACCTTAAGTGCGAAAACAAGTGCTTTTACAATTGCGGACACAAATATGTTGCTGTCAGAACCAATAGAGTACCATTCAACTCAATGAGCTTAACATAAATTCTTTCGAATTCAATACAGCTGCCAGAAATGTACGTAATGCTTGTTGAATAGTGACTGAATCTCCCAGTATTCAGCAGTTAGCGTACCTCGAAAATGAGTCTTTATCTGAACAGTGGTATTTATATAATTATATTCTATAGTTTTTTAGGGTTCCAAGTGCCACACCACTCTTCAGTAGCCCATCTCTAATTTCCAACAATAGCTGCCGCCTTCTTTAACTGACCTGATAATGGCTAAAACTCTCTAATCCCGTACTCTCAGAAGGTACACCATGTCACCTTCGAACGCTTAACCCATCGTTTCTTATTCTAGTCCTACTAAAGCAGTTGCCCGGCGTGACGAGATTCCACAGTCTTCCCAGCGTGTATTTGAATCATTTCCATTTTTTCAGCTTGTTGTTGGTTTGTTCACATGATTTCTTACTTCTTATTATTTGTGAACACATGATTTTCAATAGAGAGTGACGTTAGCTGTTGATAGACGTCTGCGGAAGTCTGTTGGAAGTCCTTCACGTGACGCCCTAGCCAAATATCCTACTAATATAGAAAAACTAGATGACTTAACATTAGCGTAGGAAAAACGAATTTTGTTCAGCGTGCAGAGTTCTAAAGATTTCTTCAATTATTTCAGATTGACAGTACTGTGCCTGACCTTTCTGATCAAGGCTGGTTTTGACATATTCATTCATTCTACCTCTAGCTGAGACGATGCTTCCAATTTACGTTTGGCGAGTGACCTACTTCAAATATCTATCATTTATACTGATTTGTGCTGGTTTTCGTTGGTTCGTTATCGTCATAATCTTCATTTCTCCCGCTTTCACTTGAATTCCTGTCTTTGCTGCTTCCTCTACTGTTTCCGTGATTATGGACTTTAGATAGCTCCAGTGTTTATCTACGCAGGTTTCCTCAGTGATGCTGCATGGTGTCTGCCAACAAGGTCTGGTGACAACGGTCGAGGTGTCGTCCGTAGATTCATCCCTCACTTTCTTAGTGCTTCATTAAATTTCGAAATGTCCGCTGTTGTTCTGAAGGCTTTCAACTTGTCCTTGAGGGTTCCAGGAACTAGCAAAAGAATCGGCCTCCCAATATACTCGCCTTCTTGCATCTTTGTCAAGCACGCTGCATCTTCATTCCATTGAGGTCAGTCCTATCTGATGTGTCTGTAAGATGATATTTATCTCGCCTTGTATGTGCTACTTTCAATCGCCAAAATAATTGAAGGCACAGAAGTCTCTGAAGCGATCTTTATTGTCATCCATTTCTCTGAGGGCTTCTTCACCTATGGTAAGTTCTCTTCCCACATTGTATGCTTTCAGCTTAGCAATTACATCGCCCACTGAGATTGTTAGGTCTCCATTTGGATGTTATCCACTTCCGTTCGCAGCTGTAATTTTCCTTCTTCTTATGTTATCAGTCGTTTGTAAGTGTGTAGAATTGGATAATTGGAACCTTTCTTCGTTTGAATGGAATCTTGCTGTGATAATTCTGGAGGGGATTGCTCCGCACTGCATTATATATTTGCATACTATTGATGAAATCATTATAGTCACGCCATCAATTAGCTCGTGGTTGTCATCTAAGTGACCGGAGTAGCATTTCCAATTGGCAATATCGGATACTCACACTAGTCCCGCAACTAACAGTGAAAACAATTAAAGGTGATAAATGTTAGCCAATAAAGACTCATGTATCAGCACCGGATAGCCACGTGAAAAAAGAATATCATTTTGACATTGCTTTTATTTTCAAAATGTTGTGCTTTGTTCGTCATTTCATAGACCACAAAATGTCAAATCAAACTGTGCAATGTCCCCGTTTGAAAAATTCAAGTCTAAGCCTCAGGCCAGGTAGCCTTTTCCACTTCTTCATATGGGTAGGAAGTCCTCCTTTAGCCTAATGTGTCTCACACAGATGATAATCGATACACTGTTGATGCTTCTAGTGACAGTGACTATGGTTGTAATGGTGAACACAATGTAAGAACGAATTTCATTATCAATTTAATAGACTAATTCAACTCTTGGCGCAGTAAAGAACTTTCTGATTGGCTTCAAGAGCACAGCTGGCTGACAGTTCTTCTTATGTAAGTCATTTCTATAATGTTTCCACCAAATATGTGTTTGTGGATCCTATACATTTCGCTAGCTTTACGTTGTAGGTTTTATGGCTTACCAGTCCATCAGCACTGAATCCTACGAAAAATATTCTGCTTGCAAACATTTGCTTTGTTTGAACTGACATTATTCCCTTGTCTGCATGTTGATTGCAGGAAGTATTTGCATCAAAGAATATGTAAATATTCAAAAATTTATTGATTTGGTTGAATCCGCATTCACTTTTCATTTGCCCGATATCATTCATGGATATGAATCCATGAAATTGCAGTAGAGCCACACTATTTGATTTCTGAATAAAACATTTTGAAAATATGACAAACTTCTGTTTGAATGGGTGTCCGGGCAACATCCAACGGATAAATACCACTTTTTGAATAATTTTATGCTAAATTTTAAATAGGACTCTGCAGACACAGCGTTCATTAACCCATCTACGAAAATTCTTCATTTCAGATTACTTGGAGCACTTCCGGTCCTCATTCTCGCACTGCTAAAACTACTCGGATATCGCCGCGACGTTGATCACTTCCTCATAGTATTCAGTGTGAGTGTTTTATTCCTTTGGTTTTACTTATAATAATGGGTTACAGACAAAAGTCATATACCTGTAACTCATTCCATATAATTTTTTTATTAGATATATCACAAATTGAAACAGTCATATTTACTGCATGACGTGTCTAAAACAACCCATGGTTAATAATCAAATTAATCTCATTACACGTATTATCAATTTATTTGATATACAGTTATTATTCTCCAAGTTCACACTATCAGGTTATGTTTTCTTAATATCATCTTATCGTGGCGTCTGTGGCACAGTGGTTAGGACTCTCGCTGACCATGCACATGATCAGGGGTTCGATCCCGTACCGACGCACACCTGATATCTATGGTCGGCCTGCAAAATTTGAGCTACCAATATCCGTGCTGAAAATGTCATGCTTGTACCAAAAATACAGTGAGGAATCAAGTTGTTATCAAAAAAATCAAAACACACTGTAAGATTTTGTGTAATTTCACGTAGCGCAATAGGTGAACTATTTTCTAGATTCCGTTTCTTATTTGAGTCGTCTAATCTGGATTTTCCCAAGCTTGCTCCGATTGCTTCACTGATCTCGTTCCACTATTCTGACCTAAGTATTTGATCTGAAAGTCACTGCAGTATATTAGATAAGCTAAATTGTTTTGTTTAACTGACTCCATGGGATCCTTCAACTGACAAAGTTACTCTCTGATTGAATTTTCTAGTTTGAATGTCATTTTATCCCTGCAAGGTTAAAAATCACCCTAAGACTTTTCAAGGTTTCTTGTTTGTATGGAAGTACTAATGATGATTCAAATTCCTGTACAGATTTGTCATGTGTGTTTTCATTGTTATTATTACTGTTATTATCATCACCACTACGACCATTATAATTATTACTCATATTTTATTAAAATCTAAAATATTATATAAAGGCATCATACACAAAAACGAAGCAACTCAGCACAACTTCGTTGATGTGTCTGCGTGTGTAAAGTGGAGTGAGAGCTGTGTGAGTTAGAAATATAAATCACACACTTTTGACAATTTCAAAGACAGCACACCTCTCGACATTTTTTGAACACAGTGTATCATGCAACTGGGTGAATACCACATAATGTTATGAGAAACATGTAACCTTGATATTTTTATCACATCAACAGCATTCTTTCCACCTTTGGTTGCCTACACATTTATTCAGCTGTTATATCCAAACTTGTTTTGAGTTAAAGGTCAGTCACAGAAAATAAAACAAGATTTAGAGCAATCTGAACAGTATCACAGGTATAAGAATCCAAGTCGGGTACTTGTTACAATTTTGGGTGTAGGACAGCTTTACAGAGTGCTTGAAGAGGGCGAATATACAAATGACACAAAACATAGTTATTGTGATGCATAACATCTTACGACACTGATGTGAACATTTCAACTTTGACATTATTCGAACACGTTTTTAGCTACAGAACCTATTTCCACTAATATTCAGAAGCAGAGAAACAGGAAAACTGCCCATGGTTGATTTCTTTAAAGTCATTTTCAGATCAGCAATTCAACCGGATAACTGTGCTAAATGGAATAACGATGTTTTCGTCAACTTTTCATATCACCATATATGCGCCATATCAGGGCTGTAAGGTAAAACACGGTTTGCTCCACAAAGAAATATTTATGTCAAATGACTTGATTTTTAACTATGCAGTCTGTAAATCAACCTTTAAACTGTGACATCCGCTCTGCTCCATTACGCAACACATATGCTTCTTACTACGGACGAAGAGTTGAGTTCCACAGTTCACTTCTTAGGTGTCAAACCAGATAGACGAAATTCACGGAAAGACAGCCTCTACAAGGCAGTTCATTGATTTCAACAGTCAGGTACCACTAGGCAGAAAGAGAAATCCTATCCACCCTCTACGTTTCAGAATTCGGAAATCTGCAGTGTCGATTCAGTCGATAATGAAACAGGAATTTTTCTTAAAATTCTTAGAACAAAGAGATATCCTAGGAGGGTTATTGACAGAAACACAAAAACTTAAGCTGTCCTCATGGTGCCAGTGAAGACACTATTAACGTGGGTGCTGAAATGAACAAAAGGTGTTCATCTAAGGGTTTAAACGCTCTTCTTATGTAGTCGACTTACACTTGGTATTTATCAGTCGAATTTTGATTCGACAAATCTTCAAAAGATAAACTACCGCTTTTGTACATCTCTATTTGCATGTTCACATTTGCAAGCTCATGTGGACTTATTACACTGGACAATGCATGAGTGTTCTTCATAGACAGGTAGTCGAACACTGCTCTTTTTAATTATTGAAAGCTGAACACAGGATGATAAATTCTTGAATTTGTGTGCAACGTATAGACTCACCTCTCTCAGCTCCATGCGAATTATCTTTCCAAGTTGCTTACACGACCAGATACAACCACTGTAGAAGCCTGCGATTCTTGTACTTGTGCATAGCTATATTTGAACATAAACCTCATATGTGTGTTCAAACATATGCCAAATACTTTTTGTCACCTTGATTATAGCAGTGTTCTTTTATTTTATTATATTCCACCACTTCAATTATATCAGTTTATTTCATATACTCGGACTTCATATTCATGATCATCAAACTCTTGAAATTTAGACAACACTTGAAGTACTTGGAAAGTCTGAAAACGAATTCACTTATGTAATAATATTTGAAAACTGTGTGATTATTCCACTTTAATTCCACCTACCTCTTACATCATTTTTATTATTCTAATGCTTACCATATGTTCATTGACTGAACAATTTCTAGAGGCGACTATTGGCATCTTTTCTTCATATAAATACGAGTGAATTCGTATGAATTCGTTAAAAGGAAGTAATTCTCCTCTGAACGAAACTCTATTGTTCTGTATCCAAGCTGGGAAACTATACGCTGTAACAAAGAGAAGTCACGGATGTAAATAAGAAACGTCTACTGCACACAGCTGAGGCGACATGCATTCGAACTATGAAACCTAAACTATGCATTCAAAATAAGTTCGTATAGCCTGTTATCCCTATCTTTGGTATATTAAGATATAACCTCTCAATTATATTTTCAACTGCTTTCTTATCATCCCCTAAGCTTATCAATTGTTCATTGAAAACGCGTTTCGTTTACTTGCCCTACAATCAGTCTAGCATTACTTAATCGATTAATTTGTTTTTACTAGCCTCTGTCGATTACTTCCATCTGTACATTTGTTTGTTTGATCATGCTGTTTTTCATTATTCGTGTTATCACCGATTGCCTCACTTTTTCATCTTTATTATTGATAAGACCATTATTATTATTATCATTCCTACTATTGTGACTAATTGCACAATTTATATTCACCATCTTATTATCCTATAGACAGAACACCATGATTGATTTATATTTGATTTATATTTGACACCCGATGAGATCTAATTGAAAACAGTATTGTTCACTAAAATGTTTTGTTCCAAACTAAACTTACACCTCAATAAAGAACTTACATGTAATAATGCAATCTACAAAATCAATAAATATTTCTCTGCTATATATTTGTAACTTATTTGCATAATTTACCAATGCAAACTCTTTCTTTTATTTTAGTTCGTACTATGTTCGATGGGTTTTGCAACCAGGTTAAATGCTATTGATTGGGTGGTTGCTTTGGCAGCACTTGGTTCAACAGTTGCACTAACTGCAGTTGTAATCATTCTAGCTCTGTATTTCCGAGATTTAGATTTTCGAATAACCATTACATTTTTCTCACTTTTGTATTCTTCGGTTCTGATTGGACTTATTTTGTTCATTATCGAATTCACATCACAGGGAACAAGCAAACAGGTGAGCTCTATCACGTCTTTTGAAACGTTTGATTTGATTTGTGACATATGCATGGAATGTGAGATGCTATAACACTGATAGATGGATATAAAAAAATATCTCACAGGAAGTAAAGTAATTCGGACTTTAAGAATACACCACCGATAGATATTATTGTCAGGTTACTAAATGTTATCTGTCACACCGATATCCATGCTGAAAATTCCACACTTGTACCAAAAATACAGTGTGGAACCAAGCTGTTATCAAATAAATAAATCACACTACTATACTTTATTTTTCCTGTTGAAATCACCTTCACACAATGTGGTGGTATTCACAGCAATTACCAAGATATGTTTAGGCCTTTTATGTTCATCAATTGTGATATTCTATCGGACAACTTAGAATGCATTACGTGTTAGCTTTACTGAAATATGTGAAACACACCAACTAATGGGTTGTTAATTGTTATTTGATATGATTTGCAAAGAACGTTGAGACTAAGTAATTTCAGGCACATATTTGTTAGGTGTATTAGTCATAGCCATGCATTCATGGTTGATTTATCAAAAAGTTCACTTATCAGATATTATTCTTAAGACAAGAAAACCTACAACTTCGATTTATTCCATTTTTACTCTATTTACATTTCATGTTTTCAGAAGGCATTCAATATTTCTACCGGGGTCTGCTTCATACTCGCCATGATGCTAGTAAGTTCCTTGCAGTATATTCTTAGATGATCAGTGAGGTCCATCCAGATGTAACGTGTAAGGGTGGATGTTCAACCGATTACATTAGTTAATGGTCACGCTAAATGAAGAATTGATAGAAGTTACAATTTATGGGCCGTTGAATTAGGTCCCAGTGGATAGGTGCTATACGACCTTGTTTTCTGAACCGAATGTCCTGGGTTCAAACCTAAGTTGATGCTTACTGCCGATAATTAACAAACTAGAATGAAGTAGCTGTCCAGTACCCCTACTTTTCTATAAGTGATCAACCCATCGAAACAAACTTAATCCTTACAAACCAATCAAAGAAAATGCAATGAACCTAATGATTCAACTTACACGTATTTACCAATTCGCTCTTAAGCAAGAACAGTTAGGTATGTGATTCAGACAGAATTCACTTCATTCTTGTTTTCTGAATATTCCACATATTCAGTCAAGTTCAAAATTTATGAACAATTCCATTGTTCCATCGTGACATTTCTAAATGAGAATATGTTTGCATAGCGCACTGCCGATGTATAAAACAAACTACGTTTTCCTCAGATCTACAAAACAGTATGCGTGCTCGCAAATTAGTATTCCATGAGTCATTCATCCAATGAACAGATAACGTAGAATCATTATTGAGGTAATAATCTATATTGCATCGTTACTTCAAATAGGACTGACTTCGAATCAAAATTCGTCATCAAGTAACCAACATCAGGTTGGCTGTTGATTTCTGAACTCAACACTTGGCAATCTCATTGAAAGAAAATGGATGATTTGAGTATATTCAACACTTGATAATGATGAAAGCTTTCACCCGAAAGGTGTACGTTCAGTCTGTTTTTATGAAGCATAGGTGTATGACGTAGTTCACATGGTGAAATACTTGTGGCTGACTCACTTCTGTTGTAATTTAAATATACTATTTTAACCAGACTTGATAACTGATTTGATATTGCCTTATTTTCTTACATTACAGGCTATTTTCTTGACAGTGAATAGATTGAGACTTTGCATTGCATATAAAGACGTTTATTGCACAATAATATTTCGAGCATTCTGCTTGTGGTTGGAAATGATCATTATGTTTGCAGCAATGTATGCTCCCTTTTATGATCCCAAAAGAGCTATCTAAGATGAATTCTTCTTAGTATGTGTCACTGCTGATAAATAAATATTTATAAATTTGGATCAATTCCAGTTTTTGTTCACTCACATTCTGTTGAAAACGTCTAGCTGATGTGTCTGAAATATCCTTTAAGGTGAACACTTAGTCGACTTGCTAAATATGAATTTCAATCAGTCGAAGGATGAAGAAAAGAAAAGGAACATGTATGAATTAAGTTTCATAACTGAAGTGAATTCATATGAATTTTTTCCTATATGTACACCTATGAAGCATGCAGTATATGACATAGATATCGTACGATGACACTGTAGCTTTTCGTGAACTTTGAAGACATTCAGCACCTTTCAAAGTTGTCATGAAGTGTGAAATATTGAAGTGATGTTTTTGAATTTAACTCTTGCGGTATAAGTACGTAATAGAAAGTGATGCCTGATGGAAACTGTTATTTTTGCAGTCAATGATATAGAGAACTTAAAACCTCAAACTTTGAAGGTTATGTGTCGCTACTCATCAACCCTTACCAGTAAACATTATATTCGCTTTCAAAATCTTGCTTCAAATCTTACCATTCGAAGTAACAATAATGAGCTGTGTGTTCAAAGAAGTTTTGAGCAAGCACTATAACTCTACTGAACAGCAAACATATCGTTGAAGACGCCAAAGTTGGCTTTTCCCCCTGAGGTTTCACGAGAACAGCGATCAGCCCATCTATGTTACTCAACGGCCTCCTCAGCATCTGTTCAATCTAACTGCACATTTTTCGGTATTTTTTTGTTGAACAATAGATTCTTCGTTGGTTGCTTGCCAGTAATCCTAGTTACTTACTATCTCGAATCGCTCCCTTATTCAACAATACAAGCCAGCGTATAGCTCGTATGCTCAACCATTTTATTTTGCTAACAGATCACTTAGATGTCATCTGTGAAGGTATGCGCATATGAACTATTCCTGGAGTGACTCAGTCGGTGGACACGATGTTAGTGTAAATATGTTCTGATGGCTATTGTAAGAATGTGTTATATTACTTCGTCGACTAAATCATGATAACTTGTGCAACTATTAATTTTCTTATGAGACCTAAAGTTCACGTGATTAGTGAGGAAAGTATTCACGGAGAATGATCAACGTTTTAAATACAGAAAGACAATGTGAATGAATCGGAAATTACAGGGAAGTAATTTTGTTATAATAATCGCGTAACTAAAAACATCAAATGAAACGATCCTTCTGAAATGTGATGCACTTTTGGACTGCTTCTGCAACTAGCCTCTCAAATCCTTCAGAGGAACTTTAATTTAAAAAAATAGCTGGCATACTCAGACTGCGGCCAATTTATTGATTAACAGAATCGTATAGCACTAAATATTCAGCTGATACCATTTACTTAGATTTAAACGTTGTTCGGTTGTTCTCAAATGTCTACCTTAAATTTCAGTAGCACTTGGCATATACTAGATGACTAACACTATTTTGTATTTTTCCATGCACAGCTGTTAAATGTTTTTTGATTACAGCTTAATTCCAGACCGTATTTTTGTTACAAATATGGAATTTTCAGCATGTGATATTGGTAGCTCAAATTTTGCAGGCCGACCATAGATATCAGGTGTATGTCGGCAGGGGCTCGAACATTGGACTATGCGCATGGTCGGCGAGAGTCCTAACCACTGTGCCGCCGAAGCATATCTTCATTGAAATTATTTTTCTCTCATTTAAATTCATTTACAAAGTGCGACGTTTTAATGGAGTTATGACAAATGTAGAGGAAAATGCTTGTCTCATTATTCCATCCATCAATCACAAGGACGACTGCCTTTCGAGGTCAAGAATCTTCGTCATTAGTATTCCTAATTCACATAGAGTTGAATTCCAGAACAAATAACCTTTTAATTACTCTAAATCTGTTGAAGCTCAGCGAAGTCATTATCGTTGAGTGTATTCTGACAATTTGATCCTGGATCAGTTAACATAACATAACATAAGATAAGCTTTATTCCAAATCAGTACTTGTGATACAGAATGGAATTCTCAGCATTTTACTACAATATTAAGCAGCGCGTCTCTAATTATGAGTATTAAAAAGTATCACATCGAGTCAAAAGTAACCCACATGCATAAACAGTTCACCTGCAGCTCACCCAGCAACATCACTTACAACACGCACAGCAGCGCATGTGGACACCAGTTCCCTAAAGTAAAAAGAAACCTTAAAGGCAATCAAGCTACTGAAGTCCATCTTGAAAAGCTGCATAGCCAGACAGAGTTCGCTGAAACTACTGAAAACGAACCCAGAGACTGCAGAATATGTTCTAACGCGAATATAACACGAGGTTTAAAAAGAAAGTAAATCTGCCTACATATTGGAAGAAAGGCTACTTTCCCAAACAACCAAAGAAGAACTACTCAACCTTCTGCAAGAAATGGCGTAGAATAATGCACTTATATACACCAAGGAAAAGTACTGGTTCGCGTCATCCATGAGAAAAAAGGATGCATTAGATGCAGAACTCCACCATCACAAAAAATGCCGGATTTAGGAATGGCAAATCATATGCTGATCAAGCTGTAACCGTAGGCATGATCACTGAGTAGTATATAGGACTGCAGTCACACCTGTACCTCAACTTCATAGACTTTGATAGACTCTTCGACAGCACTGACTGAGAAGTTATTTGGAAACTGCTTAAGCACTGTGGCGAACAGTGTCCAACTTCATCAATCAGCTGGTTACATGACAATGCCACGTGTCAGGTGACCAGTAACAGAAAACTCAGAGAGGCTTTAGAAGTACACACAGTAGTAAGACATGGTTACCAGTATGTTATCACCGATGGTATTACTAATTGTAGTTGACTGGATTATGAGTCAAACTGCACATGAGACTGAGAAGACAAGAATACTCTGGATCGATTAAAAGACTCTAGATGATCTGCATTACGCCAGTTAATGCTTCATATTTAACATCACACAAATCCCATTACTTGCAGGCGAAAAGTGGCAAAGTGGCCGATGAAGAAGTGAAGACAGGATTCTAGGTGAAGACATCGAAGATGGAGGTGACGAGATAACCAACAAACAGAAACCGTAAACAGAGCCAATCACCATCAATGAGGGAAATCTAAACGGGTAGCTTCTTTCACTTATCCATGATTCATAGTTTCAACAACATGTGTAGCATATGAAGATATCAAAGATCGAATCAGAAAGTCAATATACACGTTTATCAATTTGAAACTTGTTCGGGAATTTTCTTCGGTCAGCATAAAGAACAAGATTCGGATTTTTATTACAAATGTGAGTTCACCAGTGAGAAAAAACTGGAGAATGATATGGCACACAGTGAGAAGATCGTAGAATGACATCGCGTAACCAGGCCATCACTGAAGAAGAAGTAGTGGGAAAATGCGATTGAATCGTAAAAATGTGATACGGAGGAAATCGGGAAGTCTGTGACAAAGCTAAAGCGGACAGCAGAAAATGGGATAAAATAGGGGTGTGCGGATGAAGGCTTATCTTTCACTAGGAACACAATGGAAAAACAACTCTACCACAGTGCCTAAGTTTTATACTGATAACAAAGCATTATAATGGGAAGAAGAAATGGAAATCTATGGATACTGATACCACCATATGAATGTAATTGTAGGTAATGAGGTGCAGTGAAGAGGTACTGCTGTAACCCAACTCTGGATTTTGAATATACAGAAAGAATAATTTACGGTAAAGATTCTTATCTTATATAAGATTTGATATCATTCTCTAAAATGTTGTTGAACTTGAGAAAGTGATTGCGTTGAAGCAGTTGTTATCAACAAATATGTTTGACAAAGCTCAGTGAATCGCAACACAAATAAAGAGAAGCTTCATATAGACATAAATAATCCCTAGTTAAGTTTATACCTTTCATTTAACATCTGAATTGATACTTATGTTGACAACGTGGTCTATTAAACTAATTATCATGAACTGTCTATTTTGGTGGATTCCTTCGAGACCTTATGAAGCTTGTGTTGTGAAATTTAAGGTCTTCACCTTATGATGTTCAGTCCAGTATTGTTATCTCAATCACTACTCACTGTATATGTCTTAGCCCAGGTTTCCATTAAAACTGCGTATGTCTGTAGATTCGAATGCATTCTCCTCTTCGTCTACATGCACAAATGTCTACTGCAGACAATATCAAGTCACTTAATCTTTCATTATATCACGGATTTAATGTTTCATCAAACTAAATTTTGTTG